GTCGACAGCGCTCACGTTCGAGCAAAGTCGTGGATATTTTTGGTCCGGTACTGCGATGCAGTTTAGCAAATCGGTCGAAGCACTCATCAAAAAATACGATGCCAAAAACCAATGCTACAAATTTTTCCTAAGAAATAATGGAGGTAATATTTCTGTTCAACTGCAATGTTTCTCGCGAAACCAAAACTTAGGCATTCCGTTTTCTTTTTTTTTTTTTTGAGAGAAGGAAGAAAATTAGCGTCGTTTTTTCTTCCAAAAATTTCGAGAGCTTTCTCATTTTTATGGCAATTTATATTTTTTTTATTATCAGGTCGGCATGGTAACCGAATCGGTAAGATATTAAGACGTGGTCTAGGAGTGTCTACGCTCGGAACAAGGTGCTGGCGTTTAGCACACTGCAAGGAAATCTAGCGGGCTAAAATCTTCTAAATGTAGCGGCATGAGCAGTTAAACTGGTAATCCCTTCAGGATACGAAATGGACTTCGAGATCCTCAGTAGACAGGCCAACAGACAATCCCGATAAATGAAAACTGTTGGTGCACGAAAAACCCCAGCAGAAGAGTTGAATTTGAAACTTTTCAATCGCACATGAGTGGAGAGCATTGCCTTAAAATTCCAGCCTTTCAGCTTTTCTCGTTCCCGAGTTAGCAATTTTTCCGCTGAAACTGGTCAAAACAACTGAAAAAGTTTGAAGACCAGCCTCTGTGTGCTCCTGCTTTGGAATATATGAGAAAATTATAAATTAAAAAGTAAAAAATCTTTTCAGTTTAAATCTGCGTTTGACCAAATCATTTGATTTCACATCTCTACGTGCATCGCCACAGCCGCACATGATTTATAGAAGTATTCCAGTAACATCACTAACATAGGATAACCATACTGTTGGGCCGACCGAGCGATATGAAACATATTTGAGAATGACGCTTCCTCAAATTTTAAGGAAAAGGAGCAACACTAGAAGCTGTTGAATGCAAAGCCAAGATTCCACTGTATATTCGCGTTTGTTACTATGCCGTGGTAAGTGTTTGTGTTTTTGAAGCAACAGCAAACCCATCTATCATAAGCAATTGTCATCGTTTCTAAGGAAATAATGACAAATTTTTGTCTTCCTCGAAATCGTGATTTGTTTTTTGTCTTTTCGTGATATCTTACATTTTTTTTTGCTAAAATAATAATTATCAAATATTTCGAACACCTCTTAATATGTTTGTCGTAAATGCAATAGTATATGTTTTGATATTTTTGGTATATTTTGATGTTTTTTTTTTACGTTTTCCCACTAAAATAATAGTTAATGAATATTTTGAACACTTTTAACTTAATTTTTGCATCATAGGCGGAGCACGTTTTCAAGCTTCTTTTTTTGAGTCCTTCTAGGATTACAAAATTTTTTGGGTTTTTTTGACAAAATTTTCCGGTTTTTATTTTTTTCAGGACTACGTTGCAACGTCAAAAAAAGACGATGGATTGATGGAACCTGTACTGAAAAAAGCAGCCCCTGGGGTCGCAATAAATGATACAAACGATAGAAACGTAATTAACGTAATTAATAAAAACGACACAGACGCAAACAATGCAAGTGACACAAACGTAACTGACCATCTGGTCAGTATGAATCGAAGCGACTGGATCGCTAGTCTTACGCAACAAGTGAAAACTACAGCACCACCAGGTGATAATTTATTTAAATATGTTCCAGAAAAATTTTTACCTCGGAGGCAAATGATAGCTGTGATCCGCACCCTCATTTACCAGTGAGGTAAATTTATTTGCTCGAAAAAACTTTGAAACTCGAAAAATTGCTGCAAACTATTTATTATTATAGAAGTAAATGTAGACCGTTCCACATAAAGAGTAATCTTTTTAAAAACAGTTCAAATGCCGGTTAAAAGGGATTTGGGCCAGAGATCCCATATCGCTCGCACTTTCCACGGACTGCCTCGAAAAAAAATGGTATTTCACAAGCGGAATTAGAAAAAACACTCACACAATTTCCGACTGCCTCCCGCATTTCACAAAGAGTCAGTTATCGAGGGATGTTGCTTTTCCTTTTTTAATTTTCTAAACACAGTCAAAAAATACACAAGTTAGGCTAGCAGCCCAAGGACATTGATAATGGTAATCGCACTCCAAACGTCGCGTAACCAGAGCTTCCTACAGCATGATACTTTTGACCAGTGGTCATTAGCAACCTCCATCATGTGCTCGATCAGTCTATTCATTCTGAAAGTCGCTTCTGCCATATAAAAAAGAATACTCGCCACTTGAAACAGCTGTTTTTTCATTACTGATATATCAAACAATGTAGCCGACAATCGTGCCATTTTTTTCCTTCGTTTCATGATTGTTTTGACCATTGCTTCATTACCTAGTAGCTAGCTTTCTGGCGATCCTGGCATTCCTTTTGCCTCCCGAAAAATTTGCTGGACTCCCAACAGAAGCGTTCAACTCGTAAAATATGCTGTTTGCTGAAAAAGATTTCAGCCACGAAATCCAGGAAATGCAAACATTATCTGTGGGAACAGGATGATGAAACTGTTTGCTATATACCAGTACTTACACATCATCGGCGTATTGTATGTTTTCTAAAACAAATTTTCTCACTAAAAACAATTCAGAAGTGAAAAAATCCAGATTTTTTACATCCAGATTTTTTTTTTGAAAAAATCCAGATTTTTTTTTTACAGGATAAATCTAAATTTACTTTTTCAATAGATAACGTTTCTTTGCAACAAAACAAGAAATTTTTCAAAAAAAATTTTTTTTCTAGCCCGAAACTAACAAATTTCTCCTGGGAGGGTGAAGGAGGGAAGAGGCGGAAGTAAACGGGAAGCTTGGAGGAGAGGTGGGGAAGGAGGGAAGGAAGCACCAAAGTTAAGAGGAGCCAGGAAAAAGATGGATGCGTAGGGCACAGCTCTTTGCTTGTTTTCCTAAGAATTGTTGGACGTTGGAGAAATTTTTGGAGCAAGTCCTAAAAACGTGATAATCGCAAGTAATGAATGCCTGATGAAGATAACCTTATGATAGACTGGGGTATAACGAGCAGAAATAGTTATGCGTTTTTGTTTATATGCAAACTGCAAAAACGCATATTGTGACGACCCCAAAAATATCAAATTTTGCCCTCAGGTATGCATGGTTCTCATGCACAGCCCACGAAAGTTTTTGGCGGGAAGAATTGCTAACTCGGGGACCAGGGAAGCTGGGAGGCTGGAATTTTCAGGGAATGTTCCCAGCACAAGTGCGACTTAAACTTATCAAATTTAGTCTCTCGGTATGCGTGGTTCTTACTTACGGCCCCGTGGAACTTTTCGGAGAGAAAATGGCTTACTCTGGGACCAGAAAAGCTGGGAGGCCGAAATTTTAAGGGGATGTTCTCTGTCCAACTACGGCGTAGACAATTAACTTCTTGGACTTCAGGGAACAGAGTGCCACACATTACCAGCTGCTGGGTTTCTGAACGATCTCATTGCAGCATGAAATACTGCAAAAACGCATGATCGCACGGGCCCGCTCGGTGCGCTTCGCCAATGATATT